AAATTGCGAGAATATAGTCACTGAAAATCAGTCAAATTTTACTGATTCAGTTTTAGATAGTGTAGGGAAAAAAGTACAGAAGGGTACTTTTTCATGGTAAAATTCAGTAAAATTCGCTAAAAATTAACATAATTTTAACAGAAAATTATTTTCCAAGTGTTTTCTCATTTTTTCCTGACTATTCCCTGACTTTTCCATACAAAATAAAATTCCCTGACATTTCCAGGTTTTCCAAAAATTGTAGCAACCCTGTATATACGACTAAAATTTTTAATATTGTTAATTCAAATAATATATTAGATTTTACTTTATTCAAATAAGTTGATAGTTTAGAACATATGTTCCATGTCATAAAATTTGAGATTCCTAATATCATTTTTAGACATAAGAAAATACGTGTTCTTTACAATACGAATATTCGGGTTAGATATAATACCAAATTTCAGTTTTAGTGATCTACTTACATCTCACGTCCGATTCCAGTGATAGTTTATGCCTAAATCTCAGATTAAATCTCTAATTTAGAGATTAATTTTTTTCCGTGTGAAAACAAATATTCTTCTTTTGAGAGGAAAATTCCTCTTGAATCAAGAATATTACTCTTAATGGAAGAGTATTTTGCTCTTAAGATAAGAGAATTGTTTTTGAGCCATATTCAAGAGGAAAATATGCATTAAAAAAAAGGAATCTGCTTAAAACAAAACTATTTTTTTGTTATTTAATTGTTTTCAGTTGAATATTTCTCGCTTCGTTAAAACATGTTTTACGAGTTCGAGCTAGATTAATCACTTTGGTCTTAAAAGTTGCAGGAAGATACCAGGAATAAAGTAGTATTTATCCCGATTTTCTAAAATCGGGAGTCCAAGTCCAAGTTGTGAAATGTAAACAAACCAAAAGGTAGTAACCTACTAAACCAGCACTAAAATCGCAATTTTGCGACAGCCAATTCTCCCACAAAAATAACATTTTTACACTTTCTTTACGAAAATGGAAAATTAGAGTATTGTTTTTGACTATGAGCAATAAAAAGCAATTAGTAAAATAACTAATTAAAATGACCTGTAAAATAGCATTTTTGACCCGTCGCGAAAAATAAACTGTTTGAGTATATCAACCGCACTGACAATGAAGAAGTCCCATGTCAGCGATTGGTCCTTCAACATGTGGAAGGGTAAATTTTTCCCTTTCCTCCTTGAAATTACAAGAGAAAGGGTAAAAACTTCTTCATCGTCCGTGCGGTTGATATAGTCAAACACTTTAATTTTTCGCGACCTGAGACTCTGTTGCTCTCTGTGCCTGCACAGACCGTACTAAGAATGCATTGACAGCACCATGTAGAAGTACACATTTTGTTTTGAATGATACTCACTGGTTTTCTCATGCTTTCAGTTATGCAAGGTTTAGTAACCAAATTCGATACTTTAGTTCACCATTTCCAAAAAGAAAATGTGAATTTATATTTATTTACGCAAATGGGAACCGCGAAAAAATGCCTCATTATAGACCGAATAGTGAAGCATTTTTTTGCGGTTCCTAGTTGCGGAAATAAATATAAATTCACATTTTCTTTATAGAAATGTTGAACTAAAGTATCGAATTTGGTTACTAAACCTTGCATAACTGAAAGCATGAGAAAAGAACTAAGTTTCAGTCAAAAACAAAATGTGCATTTTTGCATGGTGATGTCACTGCGACCTTGGTACGGTCTGCGCTTGCGCAATAGGGTGGTCCAAAAATACATGAAGAAAAAAAAGTCGGAATTTTTTTGCTCTCACCCCCCGGAATTGAAGTTTGTAGGAAAAAAACCCCTGTTTTTTTCTTCATAATAAAATAATATTAACCCGTGCCTCAAAGCCCCTCAAATTTCTTATGTATTTTAAATGAGAAAAAAACCATTTTTCGTAAATTTAGTATAAAATCTAGAGAAAATTTTGTTTTCACTTGGTTAAGGATGTTTTTCTTCTAGAGTGTTTAAGGAATAAAATCCTTTTACATACACTACCGGTCAAAATTGAGAGACCACCCATTTTCAGATGATTGAAAAACATTTTAAAACATAAAATGTATGGAAACTAAAATTTTTTTCTTTTTATTTTTTGAAAGATGTTAAAATTTTGAAAAGAACAAGATCTTTTAGAAGTCATTTGACCAATATTTTATTTAGATATTTTTAAAAAATCGTCATTTTCAATGTTTTACAAAAATTTGAATAACTTCTAAAATAATGAACGCTTTTTAATGATCTTAGTCTTATTTTAATAGTATATTAAGCAACAAGAGGAGAAATTGGCTGCCTTTATTCTCGTGTTACTTACGATATTTTTTATTCCTAATGCACAAAAGCGGCGATTTCAGATAGCAGACGACAGGGAGTAAAAGTCATTCACTTGTTCGATTTGTATGAAAATGGCGGCCGTCTTCTCCCTTGGGCAAGAAAAATGCATGTGAACAGCTAATTTTCTTGCCCTTGGGAGAACACGGCCGCCATTTTCATACGGTCGAAGAAATGAATGACTTTCCTCCCTGTCGGCTGCTATCAGAAAGCGCCGTTTTTGTGCATGTGGGATAAAAAGGTCATTTGTTACACTATAAGAATTTCTTATAGTCATTAACGTGTCCAAGTTTGACACTTGGACCAAAAAAATTAAAAAAATTTGGAACAATTTTTCTGTACTGAAAACTATTTTAGAAAATATATAAAACATCATATGGTGTAGATTTTTAAAAAAAATTTAATAAAAAAAATACGTTAGAATTTTAAAAATTATTTTTCTGTTAATAAGATTGTTCCAAATTTTTTAAATTTTTTTGGTCCAAGTTTGACGGCCTGCATTTTCTAAGACAAAAATTAAACGTTAATTCCTATAAGTAATTCTTATAGTGTAACAAATGACCTTTAAAATAAGACTAAGATCATTAAAAAGCGTTCATTATTTTAGAAGTTATTCAAATTTTTGTAAAACATTGAAAATGACGATTTTTTAAAAATATCTAAATGAATTCTGAAATATCTTGTTCTTTTTAACATTTTATCATCTATCAAAAAATGAACAGAAAAAAATTTTAGTTTCAATAAATCTTATGTTTTAAAACGTTTTTCATTCGCCTGAAAATGGGTGGTCTCTCAATTTTGACCAATTGTATTACAATCAATGAGAACAAATTATAATAACGAATCAAAACTAATAATTTACCGTTTTTTGCTTTTTTGAGAATTTTTCAAAAATAAAAAAAATATGGAAAATAAAAAATTTGTTAAATATGTAAAAGGATTTTATTTTTTAAACACTCTAGAAGAAAAACATCCTTAACCTAGTAAAAAAAAAATTTTCTCTAGATTTTATATTAAATTTACGAAAAATGTTTTTTTCTTATTTAAAAAACATAAGAAATTTGAGGGGCTTTGAGGCACGGGTTAATATTATTTTATTATGAAGAAAAAAAAACAGTGGTATTTTTTTTCCTACAAACTTCAATCCTGGGGGGTGAGAGCAAAAAATTCTGACTTTTTGTTTTTTGGACCACCCTATTGCGCAAAGAGCAACAGAGTTCACGTCGCGAAAAATTAAAGTGTTGGACTATATCAACCGCACGGACGATGAAGAAGTTTTTATCCTTTCTCTTGTAATTTCAAAGAGGAAAGGGAAAAATTTACCCTTCCACATGTTGAAGGTCCAATCGCTGACATGGAACTTCTTCATCATCCATGCGGTTGATATACTCAAACAGTTTATTTTTCGCGACGCATCAAAAATGCTATTTTACAGGTCATTTTAATTAGTTATTTTACTAATTGCTTTTTATTGCTGATAGTCGAAAATTATTTTATTGGAAACTTTGACACTCTAATTTTCCATTTTTGTAAAGAAAGTGTAAAAATGTTACTTTTTGTGGGAGAATTATGATCCACAAGTTTTGAACGTTCAAATGAACGAAATACTTTTTATTAAAAATATTTTCATAAATTACTGATTGCAATACAGATTAAAAGCATAAGTTTTATATTTAGAATCTTTATAATTAATTTTATTCATAGTGACATAAAATATTATAATAAAAATTTAATTTGTAGAAGAAGAAAATAAATTTCGTTCATTTGAACGTTCAGAACTTTAGGATCATGGAGAATTGGATGTCGCAAAATTGCGATTTTAGTGCTAGTTTAGTAACCTTTTGGTTTGTTTACATTTCACAACTTGGACATAGCCTTAAGAGTAAAATGCAACTTGAAAAACATTTTTTTTAACGAATCACAAATTTGACAATCAATGCAAAAAAAAAGTTTGTTAATTAACAATCAGATTATGGAAAAACTATTAATCCGATTGGGTCAAAATTTGTTATGCTAATTAAGGGCCTCAAAAGCAATGATTTTGCTATGGGAAAGATTGATTAAATAAGAATTAAATGAATTATAAAATATTTAAAAATCGTTTGACTTATATGGTTTTAATTCTGTAACTCATAAACAAATTGTTGAAAAATATCGTGCGACCTCTCATTTTTATATATTCTTAAGCTCTACAACTTTTAATAACAACTTTTTTCTCTAAAATTTCACTGAAAAGAACAATCGTCAAAAAATTTCAAAAAAACTGATTTTGGCATCTTCAAAGTTTTATAACAATAATCGCGCTTAGTGTAAGTTGGTGCAAATTGTTGGCCTTTGTTTCTATGCTACTAATCTATCAAAAAACGTTTTTGCCTATTGGGTAGGATTTATGTCACATACTATTGACAGGGCGCCTGGACTAAATATACAACTTTGAAATTTTTTAGCATTTTTGTTTGAAAAGGCATAATTTTTTATGAGTAAAAGATATTGATGTCAATTTTTTAAAAATTGTCTGTAAACACTTTCGACTAAAAATTGTTTGAAAGAAAATTTATTCGATACGTTGTTCACATTAAAGAAAAAAATTTTATTTTCTATTTTTGATTGTGTTATAAAAATATAGATAAAATATAAAAAAACATGAAACATAAAAGGAAAACAAAAATTAAAAATTAATGAAGTCGATAATCTCACCTAAATCTTTATCCTCCCAAGTTTTCTTCGCCTCCAGCAAAGCATCATAAACCTCACGACTAGGTTCAGTACCACTGAAAACATAATACCTCGCTCTGACTCTCTTGAAAAATTCTAAAGCCGTATAGTAAGAATTCCCGTGATGGGGAACATAGGTTAAATCCATGTAAACCGGTTGAACTTTATTCTTGGAGTCCTTTAATTTTTTCTCATTTTTAATAGGACTCTCAGATCGTTTTTTATTTTTAATATTTTCGGAAATAACTTTCTTCGTTTGTTTTCGCTCCTTTTTCGGTGTTCCAGGTGATGCCTTATTAGAAACTTCATTAGGTAACGGAACCGGAGTTGGTAATTTCAACGGTTCACCCCAATCATGAAGATCAAAATTCAAGCTATCAGGTGACAGATCACAGGAACTGCTGCTCGGTTGAACGGGACTTCGTAAATTGAATTTTCTCTGTAGTTTTGGTGATGGTAGATCTAAAGGACTCCCCCAATCGGCAATTGGATCATCTGTAATTCGTTCTCGTTGAACGGGACTTTGTAGATTGAATTTTCTTGGTGGTTTGGGTGAAGGTAGACCTAGAGGACTTCCCCAATCAGCAATTGGATCATCTTTTTTTTTATCGTGAGAAGGAGAAACAGAAGAGACAGCCCTCATGTCTTTCTCCTCAAGTAAAATTTTATCCGAGTCCAAGTCAGCTTCGTCTATTAACTTCTTAGAATCTTTATCACTGAATCCACCTCCAAACTCCATTTCGACAGTTAATTTTTTCGTTTCGGTTTGAGAATCACTAAAGCGTACGGTACTTTCAGATTTTGTTGTTGGTAATTCACCGTAAAAACTGCTGGTCATTGTCTGGTGTTCATAATGATGGGGAGATTGTTCAACCTGGGAGGTGGTAGAAAACGGTGAACTTGGAGGTTCATCATCAGAAAAAGTGTGTCTTGCTTCACTACTACCATAAATATGAGTAGCTGCTCTGCTGTGTGTGCTGCTTTGATCATCACTACGTGGACTCGTTGGTCCAACTTCCTTGTCACTCAATACATCCGATCCTGGACTTGATACTCGTTGAAGATCAGCTGACTTCAACTCTCCAATCACATTTTCAATACTTTCTGGCAAATTATTATCAACTTTCACATCCGTCTTTTCTGTAATGACAACAGTTTCACCTTTCTCGTTTGTAGCTTCAGTAACTTCTTTGGTAGTAGTGATGATTTCTCCATCATCAGACATTGTTCTGGTTGTTGTGATTGTGGTCCTTATTACCTCGCCTGACCGAAATCCTTCAGGAGTGCTTGTTCTCGACCTACCTTCGAGCCGCTTGTCAGGTGTTGATCTACCAGATGGATGAGTACCGTCCCTGATCAGTGGTGAAATTGGAACATCAGGTGTTGATTTTCCAGTAGATCCACTGTAAGCAATATCCTTTGGTAGCGACATATCAGGCGAAGATTTTCCAAAGTAACTTTTCTCGTCAGACACGAAATCACGTACTAATGGAGAGATCGACTGTTCTAAATGTTCAGCGGATATTTTGTCGAGTTGCTGATCTGGTGTTGATTTTCCAGAATCGTAGAACGTTTTCACGTCAGGTGTTGAAACGCCAAAGGTTGATGTTAGAGTTGCTGTTGTTTCTATAATCGTTTTGTCAGATTTCCGTGAAAACGTTGTCATTTCTGGTGTTGTTTCTTTACTGATGACTTTTGTCACAATGTCCGAAATGACTTCCGGTGTTCTATCTTGAGAAATACTACAAGTAAATAGTTCTGGTTTTCCAATTTCAGATCCGTCATCAATGACAACTGTTCTTGTCGTTTTTGTTGTGACAGTTTCCATAACATCTGGATCTACCTCATAAACAACAACCTCTTGTTTCACACTCTTCAGTGAATCATCAATTTTTTTGAATTGAGAAGTTAGATGAGTTGTTTTAAGAACCGCAGTCTTTAAATCATCATCAGTATTATTTGGTTCATCAGGTTGCTTTTTTTCGGTAACTTCTTGAGAAGTAGTTCCAGTGGTACTTGTAACATCAGAAGTGGATTCTGGTGTATCGGATCGACCTCCAAGGTCTGGTGTTGATTTTCCAGAAAGAGTGGTAATATGTGTTGTTCTAATTTCTGTCATGCCACCAACAAATGCTTTATGGAAAGGACTTTCATAATCAGCAACGTAAGAGGGCACTGTTTTGGTAACCTTGTCATCGAACTGCTTTATTTCTGGTGTTGAATAACCAGAAGACTTTCTGTCTGGAGTGGACAGGATTGATCTTTCAAGAGAATCGTCCTCCTCCAAAAACAGCAACTTATCAATCACACTATCTCTTGATAACTTCTTATTGGAAATGATTTCATCGATGATTTCTAAAATAATGTATCTAGGTACCTGGGTTCTGTTAATGATCTCCTGGAGGAATATCTCGGTAATATTTTTTCCTTTGGTTATGTAATCTTCCATCAACAGATTTTTTATGTCTGTGCGCTTATCCTCCGATATTGATACCTCCTCAGGAATCTGCGTTTCCAAAAGATCGGAACTTTGCTGAAAGGATGTTCTAGTAGTTGACAGTATAACTTCGGGACTCGTACTTTTAGAAACAATTTTAAGGCCTTGAACATCTTGATCTATTTTATAAACAACACTCTTGATATCATGTCTTATGAGGTCGCTCTTATCGTCATCATGATCCTTAACACTAGCTAAACTAGATTGCTTTGAATGAAGCACCAAAGTGATCCCGTCACCTTCTTTTGATTCGGATTTTTTATCTGCAGTTGTCTGTGCCTCAACACCTTCGACTGAAAGTCCTTCAAGCTCTAGAATATCACTGTCGAGAATATTTTGTCTCGTTAAATTTTTTACTAGAATAATTTGCTCGACGATTGCGATAATAACTCTTCTTGAAATTAAGTTATCATTCGCAATTTTATCCACTGTTTTCAAAGACAATTTTTCATTTTTGTAAATATAATCATCAATTATATATTTCTCTATATTTTTTAAAGTATCCGCCTGCAATTTACCCAACTCGTCATCATCATCATAATCATTGTCTGAATCGGATAAATTTTTATCTTGGTCAAATCCAACAATAGTATCTCTAGGAATTTTTAATTTCAAAATTATCTCATCAATAATAACGATTATCACTGATGTCGGAAGTGAATGAGTTACACTCAATTCATCCAATATTTCTGCACTTATTTTCTTTTTTTTACCTACACATTCATTTACGACGTAATTTTCTATCCCCATTCTTTCATTAGATTTTAGCTGCAAAACGTCTATTACATCAGGTACTATTTGTGACTTTGATTCAATAGAGTCTTTTTGATAATTCACTGATTCTTTTGATAGTGGAATTTCAGCTTCGATCTCCTTCCAGGAACCAGGATGTTTTTCTCTTACGCTTGTCCTTTCATCTTTCTCTTCTAGAATGCCTGATTTCATTGAATCCTCCAAAGCTCCTCTTACTTGTTCCATAAGATGAACTTTTTCACTTGACTTATCGTCGAATAAACTGCCAGTTCTAGATCGGGCCAATGGTGTTTTCTCAGCACCTTCAAACAAACTGTGCGATCGGGAGCGATCTTTAGGCGTTTGATCATGAACTGGTGATTCTGATCTAGGTACCTTAGTATCCTGTACTTTGTTAGAATCTTGAATAATATTTGATGATCTTGATTTATAAAATAACTTTTCATCGTTTTTCTCACTAGAAATACTTGATGATCTTGATCTTGGCTTCTTATCATCATGCTTCACACTTGTGACACTTGATGATCTGGATCTGATTTCATCCTTGTCGAATACTTTATCAGAATCAATATGAGAAACATTTTTAGTAATTGTAGTGGTCGAAAGAACTTTTGCTGATGTAGATTCCTTTTCATCATGTTTCTCACTACCTATGCTTGATGATCTTGATCTCGGCTTCTTATCATCATGCTTCTCACTAACGATACTAGATGATGCAAATATAATTTCTTCATTATCGACTTTTTTGACAGACTCACCTTGACAAGAAGCACTTTCTGATGTTGCAAATTCCTTTTGATTATGTTTTTCACCAACAATACTTGATGATCTTGAATTTTTGTCATCCTGTTTCACACTGTTGATACTGGTTGATCTGGACCGAACTTTATCTGTTTCATCAGAATCAACATAAGAATCAACTTTTTTAGCAGATGAGATTTCATTATCATCATGTTTCTCACTTGTAACACTTGATGATCTAGATTTTGGCTTTTTGTCATCATGCTCCACACTGGAAATACTTGACGATCTGGATCTAACTTTCTCTTTTTCAGAATCACCTGTTTTTACTGTCACGATCTCCTTCTCAGCATATTTCTCTTTAGAAATACTTGATAATCTTGGTTTCCTGTCATCATGCTTCACACTGGTAATACTTGATGATCTGGACCTAACTTCCTCTTTTTCAGAATCATCTTTTTTCGACGATGAAATATTCTTTTCATCATGTTTTTCACTATCAGTGCTTGATAATCTAGATCTTGGCATTTTATCATCATATTTCACACTAGTGACACTAGATGACCTGGACCTAACTTCCTCTTTTTCAGGTGTGATACCAGAATCAACTTGAGTATCAACTTTTTTAGCTAATGAGATTTTCTTTTCACCATGTTTCTCACTAGCAATACTTGATGATCTAGATCTCTTTTCTTTGTCATCATGCTTCACATTGGTAATACTTGATGATCTTGACCTAACTTCCTCTTCTTCAGAATCACCTGTTTTTACTGACCCGATCTCCTTCATAGCGTGTTTCTCACAAGCAATACTTGATCTCCTGTTTTGATCGGTATTATCAGAATAAACTTTTTCAGCTAATGTGATTTTCTTTTCATCATGTTTCTCACTAGCAATACTTGATGATCTAGATCTGATATCTTCCTTGTCGATTATTTTATTAAAATCACCCTGAGAAACTTCTATTTTTGATAATGCGATTTCGTTTTCATCATGTATTTCACTAGCATTGCTGGATGATCTAGATCGGATTTCTTCTTTTTTGAGTTTTTTATTCGAATCAGCTAAAGTTGCAGCTACTTTAGCTGAAGATAAATCCTCCTTCTCATTCGCCATTCCACTGCCAAAACTTGATGTTCTTGATCTATCGTGTTCATAAACCTTCAATTCAGCTTTCTGTAGCAACTTGTCATGATCTTCCTCTTCAGTAATCACACTAGGAGACCTAGATTTAGCACGATCTCCGTCAGAATCGAGTTTATCACCATCAATACTTGGTGATTTCGATCTATCTAATGTATCTTTATCATCTGACTTGTCACTCGTTGAACTTGGTGATTTAGTTCGATCAATGGAATCTTCATCTAATCTATCACTCATCAAACTACCAGATCTAAGATGTTCAAATTGATCCTTTTCGAATTTCACGTCGTTCTTAGAGTCCGAAAGCAGAGAAAACTTTTGTAACGGTTCTGGCGTATGCTTATCACTAACAATGCTAGATGATCTTGATTTGGTGAATTCAGGTAACTCTCTCTCAGTTTCTCTATCGCCGACAATACTAGGTGACTTGGATCGATCACTTGAATCATCATCTTGAGCATCGAGATTTGAGAGTTGATTAATGTCCTTCTGACTAGTAGATTTTAAGTCTGTCTTTTCACACACTGTGGGTTCGGATTTTAGTGTTTTATCTTCCGATTTATTTACGTCAGATTCATCAGCTGTAGGTGATTTGGAAATTGTTGATACTTCGACCAATTTGTCAACATCACTCATTGATTTATCTTTTTCTGCAATTGGCTTGTCATCAGCTACGCTTGGAGACTTAGATCTGTCGAAAGACTCTTTATCATTAGATACTGTAGATTTTGCCTTCTCTGCATCATCCTTTACTTCTGGACTCTGACTATTAATTCTTGATGATCCGGAAATGTTTCTTTCTGTTGAACCCTTTTCCAGAAATGTATCACCAGCGACACTTGGAGATTTGGAATGATCACTGGACTTCTTTTCATCTGACGTTTCACTTGCTGGCGATTTAATTTGATCTAATTCTTTATTCTCCTTTGAATCTGTCCTATCACTGGCAGTACTTGTTGTTCTTGATCTAATAATAACTTGTTCTGGATCAGTCGGTTTATCTTCGACAATGGCGGCAACTTTTGTTTGATCAACATCCTTGAAATCTAGTTTTTCACTGGAAATTCTGGCGATACTCGACGCTTTTGATTTACTTACTGTCTTTTCAAGTAAATCTTTCTCATCAAGCTTATCATCAACAAAGCTGGGAGACATGGGACCAGTATCCTTCTCATCTGACTTGTCACTCAATACCGGAGATTTCGAATTGTCTAAAGAATCTTTCATTTCTGCTTTTTTACTCGCCATACTGAATGTCCTAGATGCCTTCTCCTCTAATGAATCCTGAGTTTTATCGCCAGCAATAATTGGAGTCTTTGAATCATAAATATTTGAAAATTTTGATTCATCTTCTTTCAAATCCTCTTTTACACTGGCAACACTCGATGCTCTTGATTTTACAATTTCTTCATCAGATTTGTCACCAGAAATGATAAGAGACTTTAATCCGTCCTTATCGATTTCTAATTTTTCCTTCTTGTTAGGAATACCAAGATCTTCTTGTTCATTTAGAATATTTACATGTTGATAATCTTTATCACTGACAATATTTGTTGATCTTGATCTAGCCTGTTCTTCAGCCTGAGTACTTACAATACTCGTGGAATGTGAATTATTAACAGGTTCTTCAGCTAATGATTTAGGTAATTTATCTTCTTCCTGATTTGGTTTTTCTGAACTTGAAGGCTGATAGGAAATTAATGACTTTTCAATAAGACCTTCTGCAAAAACACTCTCTGCTGGAGAAACATCACCTGAGTGATCCAATTTCGTCTTCGACTCTTCAAGATGAGTTTTTCTTTCTTTCTCTAGAGTCTCTTCGTCTTTCTTTATTAAAATATTATCTTCATCCTGAGAATCACGTGTACCAACCGGTGAATTATCTAAACTATCAACAGGAGAAACCTGTACTTTTGCTTTTGGAGACGATTTATCGGAAATGCTGTCTTTATCCAAAGAAGTTTCTGCAGAATGCAGGGAATCCATATCTATCACCAGGGAATCTTTTTCTGATACAGACTTTGAGGAGCTATCTTTCAAGGAATCATCAGGTGTGACTGTTTTCGTGAAAGTAATTGTACCCGGAGCACAGATCTCCGTCTCGTGTCCTCCATCCTCACTGCTGGCTGTCACAAACATTTTACGTACCGCTGCATCTTGTGGATCTTGGTCAAAAATTTTCTCTTCCGGATCAGTCAAAGGAAGTTTGACGACAACTTTTTCGGCATTGCTCTTTTTTCTTTCATCAAAACCTACCATTTCTTTTTCTTCACTTAATGAAATAACTTTTTCTTTCGCCTCACTGAGATACTTTTCGGTCGCATCGACAGTTTCTGACGCCTCAGAAACTTCGATTTCACGGACTCGTACATCTTGCTCCTCTAGAACTTCTTTGATATCATCGAGTTCGAACTCTTTTCCTTCTTTTTCCTTAGTTTCGCGTACAAATTTCTCATCAGCCTCAATCACATCACTAGAGTCTTCTTCCTCTTCTGTTTTGGATTCACTAAATTTTCTAGATATATCCGGTGACTGTATAGAACCACTAACTTTGTATTCTTCTCGCTCAACTGCTTCAAAGTCATCTTTCTCGGAGAGAGTTTTGCCTGATGGAGAATCTCTAGCTTCAACAGCTAATTCATCTTGTCTATCATCACCTATAAATGCTGTCACAACATCTTTTGATGGAATACTAACAAAACCTTCAACAAGTTCATCTTCAATTTCCAAATCAGTTTCAATATGCGAAGTTTTCTGTTTTTCAATTTCTGTCAATTTTTCATTTTGATCATCATCCTGAGCTTTCTTACCTGATACATCAAGTATCGAAGACTTGCAAATATTTCTTTTGATTATGATGCCATCAATTATTTCCATAATAACGTCTTGTGGGATTATTTTCAATAAGGAGATCTCTTCAATAATTGGTAAACTAATTTTCTTTTCCTTGCTAATAAATTCTTTTTCGATATAATCTTCAACGTCATTCCTCTTTTGGGGACTGATTACCACCTCGGTTTTAATAATATCTTCAATATCTATTGCACTTTCACGACAAATACCACGTTTAATGATTGTGTTTTCAATCATTTCAATTACCATCTCTTGGGAAATATTTTTTACGAATATAATATACTCTATAATTTCGGTTGTGATCCTTTGTTTCTTTGATATAATTATATTATCAACGATCTCGTCAATGGTCGAGGTTAGATCAATCACTTGTTTTAGATCATCAGAGAGGGTATCATCAATTTTCAGTGCTCTTTGTACATTTTGATCAGATATTTTTTCAATGAATTTAGGAGACGATGGTGTTGATCCAGGAGTCACAGTTACCAATTCAGCCTTTGCTGGTGATAATTTTTGTTCGAATCCAATATCAGAGGAATCTATTTCTTCATTGTGGTGAATATCCTCAAGTCTTAGGGGTAAAATGGTTTTGGTGCAGACTTTCTCCAGTCCGGAGTCCATCACATCTTGGATTTCTTCATCAGTACATATGCTTGTCCTTTCACAAATTCTGATGTTCGACAGGAGGTCTGATCCCATTGCTAGAGTTTTATCCCTAACGGGTGGTTCCTTACTCACTGGGGATGCGATATGAGTGTCTCGAATTTCCTTGACACAAGGTTCGTCCTGAACCTCAATTCCTTTCGCACTCTCATAAATTGTAAGAGGTTTAACGAAATCGCTCTCGATCATTTCCTCCACTTCCTCCTGAGACGGTAATTGTTCAGTAACACCCACCTTCTTTGGCATTATGCCTTCAGCACCTGGTTTTGAAACTTCTTCAGTTGGTTTTGTATCCAAAGTTAGATCTTCCTCTTGTTTATTTTTGGAAATTTGGGAAAGAGCTTTATCTAAAAAGAAATCGTCCTCTTTGAGTACTTCAGCAACTTTTTTGACAATCTCAACAACGTCTTTTGGCTTTTCTTCGAGATGAATTCCGGCTGTACCGGCTAGGACTTCGCCAACGTCACGAACAGCTTCCTTCAAATCGAGAACGTGCAGATCTTCCTCTTCTTCATCGTCAATTTCCTCATCTTTCAGAATGGAGAATTTCACCTTTTCAGGCTCCTTGGAAATTGAAGGTGTAGAATCTATTTCTTCCAATTTTTCCGCAACGCCTGTTAAAGTATCGGCAACAATATCACCTGGTGGAGAAAGATCCACTAAATTAATTCTTGATTCCTTTGGAGCTTTTTCCTCAAGGGATTCTAAAGAATCCCTAAGACTATCTTTAACGGATTTAAATTTCTTGGAAGATTCCTGAATTAGTTTTTCAACTTCTTCTATCTCTTCGATGTCTTCTTTCTTCTCTGCATTGGATGTTTCAGCCAGTTTTTCTGCTTCGTCATTAACTGTTAACTTTTCTTCCTGATCGGTTATACTAGTTTTTCTCAAATCTTGAATCTCCTCCTTCAAAAATGTTGCCGTTTCCTTTATCGCCGCGGTCTTTATATCCTTCACAACTGGTTCGACTATTTCAAATACTTCTTCTTTTTCAAGAACCTTCCCCACCTTTTGGAAAACTTTGTCCATATCGACCTCTTCGAAATTAGAAATTGGTTTATGATCCTTTGGTGAACTGGATTTTGATGATGATTTATCATCATCTTTATCAGAATCTTTTTTCTTTTTAGTAAGTTTATCGATTCCTTTTTCGAATTTATCTGCTACTTTTCCAAAAAAGCTAAATACGCCATTATGTTCCTTGGTTAATGGAGTTGAAGGACCTTTCGCTTCCTGGGGCGACTGGACCCTTTCGTCTTTTTCCTTACTATAACCGTCAGTTGCATAAAGTTTCGGATCAACTTCCTCGTGAACTGGAAGATCGGCAACTTCGTCTGGTGTCTTAACGGAATCTCTCTGATGAGTTGGAATCGACTGACGAACAACTGGTGATGGTAATTCGGCTGGAATTACTTCCTCTACTTTGGGAGAAACTTTCTCCTTTACTTCCTCAGCGACGTGTTTTTCATCAATATCTTCCTTGATATCATCCAAAGTGATTCGTTCATCCTCTGGAAGAGTGGGAGCTGTTGTGGTTGCACCGGATTCAAGTGTCGATATCTTCTCCTGTGACTCTTCCATTTTTTCCGGAATCAAATCCTTTTCGATGTCTGGTTTCATATCAGTATCTGTTTTCTTTTCGGATGAATCCATCTTGTCAGGACTCAAACTAGAAGGCTCTTTGGTAATATCATCAGAGTCTTTCTTTCCTGAATCGTCTTTCTCTTCAGATTTTTGAACAACTTCAGTGGCTGAGGCGATAATTTCTTTCATTTCTTCTTTTAGTTGTTCCTTATTCTCAGGTGAGAGTAATTCCGAAACTCTTCTTTCATCCACTTTCGTAGAAGATATTTCTCCGAAATCTAACTTCTTTTCTGGAATCTCGTCTTTTTTTTCCTCCTCATCTTGATTGGGGGATTTTTTCTCGAGAATTTTATGTTTCTCGGATTCAACTTCATCAAGAAAGTGTTTCTGCTCACCTTCGGCACTTTGAACCGAATCTTCGGTGAAAATTTCTTCTTTCTCGACAATAAGGTACTCGTCTTCTTCGGTTAATTCCTGACTCGCTTTTCGGGAGTCTTTTTTGGGAGCATCTTCAATTTCAGCAGTCACGTCCTCTTCAGTCATGTCCTCCTCCTTCTTGTCTGTGGCTTCTGCAGTGATATCGTCATCGCCTTCGAAACGCTCCTCTTTTCGGGCTTCCTCTATTCTCTCAGCTTTCTGGAGAACTGCTTCAATTTCCTCAACGACTTCTCGTTCTTCTTTTAGATCTGCGAGTACTTTACTTTCAATCGAGTCAAGAGATATGTCTTCCGATTTCTCCGTTAAATTCTTTTCACTCAAGCGAATTACTGAATCAGGTTCAATACCGGACGGTGTTGACACTGTCGATGAGTCAGTTGTTCCTTTATCGCCCTTAACTTTCTTAATTACTCCATCTTTGTCAGACTTGACCGATGTTGTAGGAGTACTTTTAGTGGATTTCGCTGGACTAATGGGAACTCTGCTTTTGCTAGGACTAGACGGTTTTGTTCGTCGACTGATTGGTTTCCTTTCAACTGGTTTTCCTTTGGTTGTCTTGGCAGCAGTGGCTGATCCAGCCATTTCGATATTTTTTTGCTCAACGACTTTGCGATTATTGGCGTCTTTTGCACTTTTAGCTGGAGCGGTAGTTGCTTTTGTGGCCGGTTTCATTGGGACTCTTGGCGTTTTTGACAGTTCTGTTTTGGTGGCTATACCATTAAGAGTTTTCTTTGGAGTGGTTGGTGATGATTTGACATCCTTCTTGTCGGTTGGTTTCATAATTTTCTTCTCTATCGGTTTTGATGTTATCTTTGCCGATTCTGGTTTGCTAACCTTCATCATTTTCACATCCTTCACATCTTTAGAATCCTTTTTCTTTGGCTCTGGTTTTACTTTCTGTTCTTTTATGACAGTCTTTTCAGTTTCGGTTTTAATATCAGTCTTTTTCGTTTCACCCTCGTACAATTTTTCGCTCTTCTTTTTCACGTCCTCAATCTTTTTAACTTCTTTGGTTTCCTCAATCTTTTTCGATTCGGATTCAATTTTCTTATTCTCCACAACCTTCTTTGTTTTTCCTTCAACTTTCGTTATCCTCTTCTGTGGCGATTCATCACTAGCCCTCATAGTCTTTATTTCTGATTGGTCCTTCTTTTCCCGTTTAGCTTCAAATTTCTTTGCTTCTCGCTCGATTTTCTTGAGGGGTTTATCCTTAAGAGTGACTAACGAAGTAGATGGAGAGAGACTTTTAGCGGAGCAGGTTGAATGTTTAAGAAATTCGAGATGCTTCAAACGATCGAGTCCCTCAAAAATTTTGTGTTGAGGCGTGCTTCCGGGGAAGAGAATTCTCGTTATTGTACTCTCGGGATTTGCTGGTTGCCAGACTAATAGTGCACAAATGGAGACGACATTTTGTATGGGAAAGACAAGATTGTTGGTGTCCTTTTTATGAGATCCGGAAAATAGTTTTGAATCCGAGGCGTGCCATTTGGTGAGGAATTCACGAACCTCCTTGCTGTCTTTACTGGGACTCAGAACGTACATGTCAAGCGTTCCATGACCCACTTTATGATAGAGATTTATTGGATCAGGATCCCTGTAGCAATGATGGGCTCTTAGACTAATATGTCGAAGATTCACCATCATCTCCTGACCCATATCAATTAAATCTAAAATTAACGGATCTATATCCTTGTCGCCATCTGGTGAATTCGAGTGTCTTCTTTCCTGTAAAGCAAAAACATGGTTTATTTCTTCAAAACAATAATTTTTATAATCGAATTGATCATTTTCAATTAAATCAATTTTTTATTAATTTTTTCAAGCTCGCTATAAAAACTTTCTGAAAGTTTTCTGCTAAAAAGCAAGTCAAATTAGAAAGTAAAAATAAAAATGTAATTTACCACGAGATTACAGAAGAAATGTCCAATTTGAGGATAAACATGCATCTCCTTCTTTTTTCGAAGAACACTGGACATGCCGCCAATATTGCTGTTGTTTATCCTCGTGACCAGAACGGCATCCAATCGATCTAAATGTCTGGCAAAGTCCCAGAAACAAGCTTTCCTAGCGAAGCCCCCATCAACAAGCATATTAAAACCATTTATTCCAAAGAGAGCCGCATCCCCCTGTCCACCCGGGAAGACGTATAGAGTTGGATGACTAAAGCGAATATTTCCCACAACATCGGAAGGTTCCATTAGCTGATCTAATGTTTGAGGTACAAGATATTGCTCAATATAATGTGTAAAACTAGTAATAGCTGGAACACCTGCAGTAAGAACATCATCCGGATTCACCTTAACCTGACAGGACCTAAAATCATTATCATTTTCATCTCAATTTACGATTCTTAATTCGATTTTTAGCAAAATTATTTATAACTAAAATCAGAAAATGGTGATCATGATTCATCATCACTATTAGAAACTTTGAAGAAAAAGAATTGTAAATTTATTTTTTATTTGCGTTTTCAGGAAGGTTTTACAGTAAATGGTTCTGTTTCGAAATGTAAAGAAAATGAGTATTGTACAATGGCGGATTATGAAAAAAAGGTAAATACATTTTTAAGGGATTTTTTTTATAATTGTAGAGATTAATATCAGTTAAACAAACCTTGCACAAGGTTCTTTGGATAATCTTGCAGTCGACCATTCACCAACTCCTGCGCAATGAATATGTACAGTTACACTATTCTCGTAAGCGCGAAGCACTCTTTGCACCTCGTGTTCGCTAAATGCATCTACAAAGTCTGCATAACTAAAGGTTCCATCCTGTAATGGGGATTAAAATACAATTGAAAATAAAATATAATTAAGGAAATATCGAGGGTTAAAAAAACGAACACATATTAATATTTACATAAGTCAAAATTCATTAACCATTTTGATAAATAATAATAAAAATTTTTTTTTTCTCAAATCTACATAAAATTTTCTTTTTTAAAGAGCAAAATAAAAAAGACATTATATTGAACAAAAATTTTTTTTAAATTAATTTTTTTCCAAAAAACAAAAATAAACGTAAATATTTTTTTGTCCTACCTGCACGGAAAGTATGTCATTTCGGGCACTTAGAGCGGGCGCAAAGTATCTCATTCCCACCCAGGGGCAGGGGAAGCGGGCGCAAAATATTTTGCGCCCGCTTCCCCTTCCTCCGAACTGGCGGAGAAGATTTTGCGCCCGCATGTTAATTATTCGATTTTCTTCATTAAAATGCGATATTTTTGACTTTCTTTTTATATTAACTATAAAAATGCAAAAATTTTTAACTTGTTTTATTTTGTCTATAAAAATGTGCAATTTTGTTCGATTTTCTCTAAAAAAAAATTATGACAAATTTGGCTTTGTTCCCATTTCGGTTGTAAAAATTGTCAATTTTAAATAAATTGTTTTCTTATTTCTATATTAAAACTTCTATCATTATAGACTTCAAAGAGTTAACATTTATATAGGGTTTAATTTTTAATTAATATAAGCGTTTAATCGTTCGTGCCCTCAATGACATACTTTCCATGCAGTTAGGACAAAAAATTATGTTAGCAACATGGGCGCAAAGGTGATTCCGACTCTGGCGAAATCACCTATTTTGCGCCCTTGATACGAAAATAACTATTCCACCTTAAAAAAACCAAGAAAAAAATAAGGAGGCGAGAGGTAAAAATAAATACCTGCAGTATCCAAGAACCATTTCCACCGAAAGTGTAGCCAGCATGAATAATGTGCCGGTGTTTTGTAAAACTTGCGAGAAGATTGCGTATGCATTGTAAAAGAGTGTTTGTTTGGGGATGTATCAGAACTTCCGTCACGAGGTTCTCTGTAGCATATTGAATAAGACGTTCGCCTGCAAATATAACCATATGCACTTTTAGTTTAATGACATTCTGTAAGTTAGCATTCAAAAGTAAATTATTTAATTTCTACCCAAGGAAATAAAGGGAACTTTTATACAAAATTTATATACAAAGGCTTCAACTCTAAATAGTATATTAAGCAACAAGGTACGTAAACCATTAAGGACAGGATGTACCTACAAAATTTGTACATAATGTTTAAGGACATATTTCAATATTAAAATGCTACAAGAAAAATTTTGAATACACATTTCTCATGTATCAAGAGTCTCTCTTTCGAATGGCGTGCTCAAAAAAAGAAAAAATGTCAAATAAACAATTTATACAACATTTTTAAGGCAGTATTATAGTTTGTAAGCTGTAAAAAATGAGTTAAAACAACATTTTTTTTCTCAGTAATGAATTTATTTAAATTATTTTTTAAAATTATTTATTTAAAGTTATGAAACTTTTTGAATAATTTTATAGACATTTTTGCCTGTCAAGAATAAAAAAAATTTTTGTTTTACTATGCTGGTTTCATCACTAAAGGGCACCAAAGTCGAGATAAAAAATGAACGATCAATAGGCGGACAAGCTACAGCCTCTCAGGAACATCCGATCTGAAAACCCGGAAAAAAATATTAAAAAATAAAAAATGTCGACAATTTAAAAAAAAATCTACAAAAAGGGGATTTTTTTACCCATTTTTATATTCTAACTTTCACAAAAAAAGACATTCGGCTTTAGGGGGGATGCCTGAAGGCATTCATAAAGAAGAAATTTAATTCAGGGTTTTTTAAAATCGGTTAAAAAGAACTCGAGTTATGCTGTCCGCCAGTTTGAAAAACATCGTTTTGGGGAAAACGCGTTTAAAGAGCCATTACTCTGCATTACTCGCGACCGTCCTCCGAGCGCAGAGAACCGTTGTACATATATTTGTGTATAACTTTTTTATTTCTTCGAATTTTAATTTTTTTTTACAATTATGTAAATAATAGTATAATTCTTAAAGTTAAACAACAAAATTTATAACTTATAACTAATATAATATAAAAAAATAATCCTAAAACAATTCTAACTCTTCATAAACAATTATTTAAAACGTAAATTTTAGTGAAAATAACAATTACCAATACGTAATATCAAAAAACCCATTAATTTTTTTAGAAAATAAATCAAAAAATAATTTCCTGAAAACAAAATTATTATGCGATTCTCTAATAACATTTGGAAGTTTGTTCTATAATCTAGCACTTCTAACAATAAATGATCTCTGCATAATACGAGTAGAGGAGAGTGGGGCAAGACGGGGTACTTAAGGTTTAAAGCGCAAAAAAAACGAAAATTATGTAATATATACTTTATTATTATTTTTTTTAATCATCTTTGGGAATCAGTCTTTCGTAATAAAAGCGTACAAAGGCCATCTGATTCTTAAATAGCTTATAAATAATTAATAATATAGAAAAAATTGCAAATCACCCCATCTTGCCCCATCAGGGGGCAAGATGGGGTACTAAAAGAAACAACCTATTTCTGTCGACAAATTTCACAAGTAAATGTTGCATCTTCATCGTCATGTATAACTGCAGTGAGCCCATTGGCCGCAGACAAAATATGCAGCCCAGCCTTCATTTGAGTCTAAATAATAACCATTACAATAGAGACAAGGTGTATTTTACACTTTACCATCGCTAATTGATGATTTAACATGACAAGCTTTTTTCTTTTTGGTCACTCTTATTTTATTCAGTCTTGATTTTAGTAGTTTTCTTAACTTCTCTTATTTCTCTTTTTTTTGCTTAATTTGTGAACCCCGTCTTGCCCCAATCTCCCCTACCCCATCTTGCCCGCACCTACGAAATTGAATAAAACGAGTAATTACTACAATTTACGATTCAACAAAGAAAAAAAACATATGCTTCCCTTCTTCTGTAACCCTTGACAGTTAGAAAAAAATTTATACAGTTCATTAACTGTTATTATTAAGTAATAAACACCTCCTAAAAAAAGTGAAAAAATGACAAGAAAATCGTCGAAAACAGTTTTTTAGGAAAACAGATAAAAGATTTGTTCTCATGACTTTTAGGTTTTATAAACAAGATACTATCGTCTCGGTGCAGTATTATGTAAAATATAATCGCGATTGGTTAATTCGTTTGTTAAATAAGGCCGGTACCCCGTCTTGCCCCACTCTCCCCTACGATGAAAACGTATACCTAAAATATTTTTCCTTTCTCGAAGTTTAGCATAACTTGATTGATTAACATTTTTTAATTTTACAAAATCGAAAAGATATAAAGGAGTCTTATTGTTAATAATTGAATACAACAAATTACCAATAAAATATTGCCTTCTAGTAGCAACATTCAATAAACCCGATTGAATTCTATATTGAGTTATATGCTCAGTCTTTGGTAGATTATACACAAAACGAATACAGGCGTTCAATGCTCTCTCTAGTTTTCTATTAAGTTCATCTGTAATATCATCATAAACCTGACAACAGTAGTCGAAGTTCTGTAAGTTTCATAAGTATACGGACGATTTTAAAATTTACTTATCTGGTGCACTGAATTCACTTTCTGACTTGCTTAAAGTGGGCGAAAAATAATGCACTTGTTTTAAACTTTAACAAAACTCATGCAATGGTATTTACTTCTTCAACCTCACTTACAATGGATACCTTACTGGCCCTTCCTCCTCTTGTAGTAGAGGGGGCATTTATATTTTATATAAAGAAACTGTGAAGGATCTTGGTTTGGTATTAAACCGTACGTTGACATGGAAGGAGCAAGTTGATAATATTTTGCGTAAAACATTCATAACTTTACAGCAACTAAATAGAAGTAAAGATTCTCTCCCATTTTGTACTGGTTTGGTATTAATAAAATCACTTGGGGTGAGATTTTTCATTTTTTTATTTATTGGTTTATACACCTGTCTTCAGCCTTACATTCTTGGCTATAAAAGTGTTTCTCTTACAAAATATTTCTTATGTACATTTCCTAATACTAAGTTTTGCGCCTACAGAGCGACTTGAAAATTAGGAGTACTCGCATTTGCCTGGATCACCCGTCTAATGGGTTTTCTCGCCAGTGGAGAGGGAAACTGTAGAAAACCTCTCCTGAGTACAACCGGTTTATCGACAGTCGAGTTCTAATGGTGTGTACCGGACAATAATCGACGGTGCACATAATTATACCTCAACGTCAAACCTCCCGCTCAGATTGTCTCACGTGCCGAAAAAATACCAAGCCAAATGGGCGCGAACCAAAGGTACTTACCCTTAGTCCTTAAACGACCGCCAAGCGAGGGATCTACCTGACTGAGCTAATTTGTCGGTTTGGGGTTAGATTTTCTCAAGTAGACCTTAAATTTTCAAAAGTTAAAATTTATCAGTGTAAATGTGCAAAAAGAAAGTTCTATTAGAGTTACGAACCCGCGTCTGACGAATGTCGTGTGTTCCGCTTTGCACGCTTTATTGTTTATTGTTTAATTGTTTTCAGTTGAATATTTCTTGCTTCCAGAAAAACAAGTTTTAACTAATTTTTTGTATTATATAATTTAAAAATATTTTTAATTTACTTGTAAACTTCCGTACCTATTAAAATTAAGAAGTAGTAATACAATATAGTTTACTACTAAACGGACTAAAATTTATATGAGTATTTTAAGGCAATCTGCTTGGTAAGCATAATGTGGTAAAATTTTGTTCAAAATTACGTGAAGGTAAAAAAAAATTTTACTCAAACTGAAAGGATTTTTATAAAATTTATTTTATAAAAAAATTATATTGTAATTTATATTGTATAAAATAAATTTTTTTTAAATCCTTTCAGTTTGAGGATTTTATAAAATTTTATTTATAAAAAGATAATATTGTAATATAAATTTTTTAAAAGTTCTTTCAGTTTAAGTAAAATTTTTTTTTACCTTTACGTAATTTTGAACAAAATTTTACCACATTATGCTTACCGAGGAAATTGACTTAAAACCCGCATAAAAAATTTTAGTCTGTTTAGTAGTAAAATATATTGTATTACTACTTTTTATTTTGAATAGGTACGAAAGTTTACAAGTAAATATATAAAATTATAGAATTAAAAAAAATCAGTTAAAACATGTTTTTTTCGAAGCGAGAAATAAATAAAATTGAATATGGTTATCCAGAACACGTTTTATTTTTAATTTGTTTATAATAAATAATTATTTTTTATAACAAATTAAGTGCTTCGATGGAGTAAAAATTATTTTTATAAAGTTTGGAATTTCATAGTTAATTTGCAAAAAGAATCATCAAGTTTCGTCAATTTTTGTCAAAGTTATGCATTATTTAAAAATGTTATGCATAAAATTTCAATTGTTTATAAAAAATAAACAATTGAATATTTTTAAATAAAATTTACAGGTTATTCGTAACTCTAATAGAACTATCTTTTTGCACATTTACACTGATAAATTTCAACTTTTGATAATTTAAGGCCCACTTGAGAAAATCTCACCCCAAGTGATTTTATTAATACCAATCCAGTACAAAATGGGAGAGAATCTTTACTTCTATTTAGTTGCTGTAAAGTTATAAATGTTTTACGCGAAATATTATCAACTTGCTCCTTCCATGTCAACGTACGGTTTAATACCAAACCAAGATCCTTCACAGTTTCTTTATATAAAATAGGAATGCCCCCTTTACTACAAGAGGAGAAAGGGCCAGTAAGGTATCAATTGTAGGTGAGGTGCTCTAAGGATTCTTGTCAAGTAGGAACGTTTTTATTATGTCAGCAATGTAATGAATATTTTTTTTAAACAGTGTTTTACAGAATCTCATGGAAAAATTACCAAAATAATTTTACTTCCACGCGGTTACTTTTTCCACACGGAAAAAAATTAATCTCTAAATTAGAGATTTAATCTGAGATTTAGGCATAAACTATCACTGGAATCGGACGTGAGATGTAAGCAGATCACTAAAACTGAAATTTGGTATTATATCTAATCCGAATAT